GGGGGGGGGGAGGTTGCAACAGACTACAGAGATGATGGGGGAAAGAAGATCATGAAGAAGCACCCTCCCACCCCCCGGTCTCCTTCTGGAAGACGAGGCCCCCTGCACAGGCTAAAAATAACACTGTTCCATATGCCGCTATGACACGTTTCACTCTGCCTTCACCTGCCTTCCACCTCCCCAACCCCGATAAGCATGGCAATCAATGATCAGCCCCTGCTTCTCTGCATTCTGATCCTCACTGCATCCACAAGTATCCAGTGACAGTGTTCAGCGAGAGAGGGATAGGGAGAGAAAGAGAGTGAGCAAAAGAGAGCGAGAGAGAGAGGGAAGGAGGGGGGAGAGAATGTGATCGGATCCTGAGTGTAGTTAAGACTGCTTCTGATCAGTGACCCCCCCCCCCCCCACTAGCTCCAGAATCAGGGTTATAGAGGCAACTCACACAGGCGACCGGAGACGGAACTAGGGGGAGCAGGCAAGAGTCATGACATGCAAGTAAAGAAGGATTCAGACCCCTGTATGGGGGTGGGGGGTGGGGAGGGAGAGAGAGAGAGACTTTCCACTGTACAACAGGGCCAAGGAGACAGAGCAACATGGCACACTCCCTGAATGACGGCTGAGCCTGAGGACAGTGACATCACAGTCACAGTGATGTGGGGACGCAGCGTCGAGTGACAGCCAGCCACCGTCACCAAAGAAGGGGCACGACCCCGCCTTCCAGGCCACCTGCCATACCAACGGAGAACCTCGTGCCTCTGAGCACAAAGAGGGGCCCCAAGAGGTGGGGCAGGAGGTTCAATGGGTAGAATAAAGACCCTGCCCCCCAGGTGCCGGAACAGGCTGCTGCTTCAGGTGTTAAAACTTTGTCTTCGTTTCCATGGTAACAAACCTAACAGGCACCGCGCTCAAGCAACTGAACAGCATGAGGTGTGGGGGGGGGACCGAGGGGAGGCAATGGTGTTACCATGGGAACTCTCAGCACATGCTTGGGAGACCGATGATTCAGCATTGTCGCCAACCCCCCTTCTCCACATCCCACTCAGTCTGTCTCCCAAACTCCTCCGCTGTTCTGCTCTCTTCCGGGCCCCCCGTTGCCATGTCCCCCCCCAGCCCGGGATGTGAGTAACAAATGAAGCATCATCCCACAGCATCGACTCACGAGGTCGGAAGCAGAACTGCAGTAAGAGGGGGCGATTTCCACAGCGTGACTCAGCAGCATTGGGGGTGCGGGGGTGAGGGAGGTGGAGGCTATCCAGACCTGTGAAGCTCTTACAGCAAACACCCCCCCCCCCCGCAGACACTTCACAGGAAACGGAAACACTCAACTATCACTACTCAGTGGCAATGAAGACCCCGCATCCCTACCTTGAAGTCGTGCAGCTGCTGCCGGATGACCTCCACCTCGGTGCCAACGGTGCCCTGCGCGGCTAGCCCATCTTCGGCGCGGCCCAGCAGCTCTTGCAGCTCGGCCAGGCGGCTGTAGAAATCGCGGACGCGGCGGGCGGCCTCCTCTACCTGGGCCAGCCGTGCCTGCCCTCGTTCCGTCAGCTTGGCGGCCTGCCTGCCCAGGGCCTCGGCCTCCCGCCGCAGTGCCAGCAGGTCCGGCGAGCTGCCCTCCCGCCGCAGCATGCTGGCGCAGTCAGCCCCATGGGCGTCCAGCTCTGCCCGCAGTGCCGCCAGCCGCACCAGGAAGCCACGCGCCGCCTCCGCCTGCGAGGCCAGTGAGTCCGCATCCCGGCCCGCCGGACCCAGCCCGTCCAGCTCGTCGTCCAGCTCGGCCAGGCGCGAGAAAACATCCCGCACGCGCGCCTGCACCTCGCCCACGCCCTGTAGCCGTGCTTCCAGAGACGAGCAGCACTGTTCCATCTGTGGGGGGAGCGTGTGTCAGTGGGGGGGTATAAGGAGGCGGTAGGATGATTACATGGGGTGGTGTGGGCTGCTTTTTAATAAAAGGATGGAGGAACTCCACTGAGAGCAGCAGAGAAACCAAGAAATATTACAATACATAAGATATATAAGGTACCAGGCAAAATGCCGGACACAGCTACTGAAAAATCAACAAGATCATGACCCTTAGTGCTCCTCAGGGTTATGCAAGTGCTGTATTCTCTTGTGAACAATAAAGGGGATGGAGTGCTGTGACAGATGACCTGGCCCCTCTATTCCCCGACCTGCATCCTATAGAGCTGGTCTGGGATGAGTTTGATCGAAAACTAAGAGCAAGGTAGCCAACATGTGCTCAGAACTTGTGGAAACTCCTTCAGGACTGTTGGAGAAGCTTTTCGGGTGGCTACATCTGGGGGATTGTTAGAAGAATGCCAAGAATCTGCAATGATGTTATCAAAATAAAGGGGGCTATAGAGTCCAAAATTTGAGAAAATTTTGAGAACATTTCTCTTGACCATTGCAATTTGATTTGCATAAATTATAAGATGAATAACAGCAGAAACAGAGTAAAAGCAGGTGTGCCCAGCCTTCGGACTGATACTGCAGATGGAGACAGAGAGGGCCTCTCCCCCGGGGCTTGGTAACCCACCCCCCAACCCCCAACCCCCAACCCCCAGCCCCTTACCTTCTCACCCATGTCCCCAAACTCTTTCTGCAGCTCCTGTGCCTGCCCTTCCAGCCGCAGCCGCCCCTCCCTGGTGCCGCCCGGTGCGTCAAGCACAAGTCCGCGGGCCAAGTCGTGCAGGTAGGCCACCTGCGGCTGCAGAGAGCACAGCGCCTCCTGCTGGGCTCGCAGCCGCTCCAGGCTCTTGTTGCTGCATGCTTGGGGCCCCAGCGCCTCCTGCACCTCCACCTGGTGCCGGGCTGCCTCCAGCCGCCTCTCCACGGCTTGCCGGCCCTCCTCGAACTCCCGCAGACGGCTGGCCAGCTCATCCAGCTGCGTTGTGTGGCCCTGCAGCCGCTCCTCCAGGCCGTCGGCGCGTCGGGTCAGTGCTGCCTTTGCGTCGCGCACCTCCTCCTCACCAACCCGGCATATCTCAACCAGCTGGTCGGCTGCCACGTTCAGTGCCTCCAGCAGGGGGCGCCGACGTTCTAGGTCCAGCGCCAGCTGCCGGGCCTTTTGCAGGCCGTCTTCCAGGGCAGCTGGCTCCAGTGAGGGCTGAATCTCAGCCTCCCGCCTCTCGCAGTCCTCCACCCAGGGCTCTAGCTCAGCCCGGTGCTGATGGAACAGATCGGCGCGGGCCAGTGCCTCTGCCAGGTGGGCCTTGCGCTTGTCACTGCGCTGGTTCATGGCTTCCCAGTCCCGTTTCAAAGCACTGAGACTGGCCTGCAGCGCCACCCTCTCCTCTCCACCAGGGGGCAACGAGGCCAGCAGGGTGGCACCTTCGGCCTGGATGAGCTCATAGGAGCCGCGCTGCTGTGCCAGCCCCCGCTGGGCCTGCTCCTGCTGCGATAGCAGCGCCCGCAGCGCCTCCGGCTGGCAGGGCAGGGCATCATCGGCCCCTGGCCACGCCCCGACCTCACGGGCCTGCTCAGGGACTTGCTCATCCAGCCAGCTGCGCAGCTCGTCGAACATCTGCTGGAACTGCTGTGTGCTAGAGAGAGCAGCCTGCAGCTGCGACAGGCCATCAGCTGGGGGGGGAGGGGGAGAACAACATTAATTACTCATTGATATCATCACCGACACAAACAACTTATATATGATGTAAGTGTCTTTTTGGTATTTTAGCGGACATAGACACCACACCGCTCTCACATTCGCCCACTGCCTTCTGTGGTGTTGTATTGAGGGACGGTCTCTCTCTCTCTCTGGCACACACACACACACACACACACACATATTCTCCACCACTTTCCAAAGAAAGTGCTCTAACAGACACATCCAAAAACACCAACATGCACAGGTTCCCCACAGGGAAAAACATACAGTCTCAGAGAAAGACAGTGAGATGGACAGCAGGGCATAGAAAATGACAAAAACACAGAAGAGGGAGACAAAGAGACAGGTGCAGAGAGGGACAGACAGACAGAGAAGGACAGACAGGCAAACAGACAGCGAGGCAGAGACAGGTGCAGAGAGGGAGAGACAGGTAAACAGATAGAGGGAGAGACAGGTAAACAGATAGAGGGAGAGACAGGCAGACAGAGAGGGAGAAACAGGCAGACAGAGA